AACAAAAAAACGAAGTCCAGATGACATGATTCAACCTTTTTTGTTGTACTCAGATTAGTTTATTTGTCCGCCTTTGGCAGCAATTGCAGCCTCAAGTCTTTTTGAATATGATGCCGCAAGCGTAGCACACGTAGCTTTAGGCAGTTTTCCCCCATTCATCTTTGCAGTACTTCTTAAGCTCCATCATGTTGAATGGGAGTTGTCTGTTCACAGCCGTTTTCAGATATCTCCAGAGATGTTCAGTCAGATTCTAGTCTGGACTCTGGCTTGGCCACTCCAGAACCTTCACAGAGCGGTCCTGAAGCCCCTCCTTTGAGATCTTGCCCATGTGCTTTGGGTCGTTGTCCTCCTGAAAGTCTGAAGTTAAGAGTTCTCTTTTTTTGAGTTTTCATCCAGGATGTGTCTGTACATTGCTGCACTCATCTTTCTGTCCCGACTTGTCTGCCAGTTCCTGCTGCTTGAAAACATCCCCATAGCATGATTCTGCCACCACCATGCTTCACTGTAGGGACGATATTAGCCTGGTGATGAGCGGTGCCTGGTTTCCTCCAAACATGACACCTGGCATTTACACCAAAGAGTTAAATCTTTGTCTCATCAGACCAGAGAATTTTGTTTCTGGTCTGGGAGTCCTTCAAGTGCCTTTTATCAAACTCCAGACGAGCTGCCATGTGCCTTTTATTGAAGAGTGGCTTTCATCTGGCCACTATGCCACACAGACCTGATTGGTCGACTGCTGCAGAGATGGTTGTCCTTCTGGAAGGTTCTTTCTCCACAGAGGAACGCTCGAGCTCTGACAGTGATTCTTGAGTCACCTCCCTGACTATTTGACCCTTCTCCCCCAATTGCTCAATTTAGACAGCCAGCCAGCTCTAGGACAAGTCCTTGAGGTTCCAAACATCTTCTATTTATGAATGATGGAGGCTCCTGTGCTCATTGAGACCTTCAAAGCAGCTTAATTATTTTCTGTATACTTCCTCAGATTTGTGCTTCAACACAGTCCTGTCTTGGAGGTCTACAGACAATTCCTTTGGCTTGGTGTTTGCGCTCAGACATGCACTGTGTCAGCTGTGGGACCTTTATATAGACAGGTGTGTGTCTTTCTAAGTTGAGTCCAATCAACTGAATGTACCACAGGTGGACTCTATTTGTAGAAGCATCTTAAGGATGATCAGTGGAAACAAGATATTTATCAAATAATCTTTCATCTCAAATTAACCCAGTTATTTAAGAGAATTTAATCCTTGAGTGACATTTTGGTCCACACTCCTTACCAGTCGGTGGCGGTAATGCACCAATTTTGTTGTTTGCCAACCGCCAATAAACCTCAAAGAAGAAGAAGAAGAAGTGGAAACAAGATGCATCTGAGCTCAGTATTGAGCTTCACGGCAAAGGCTATGAATACTTGCGTAAATGTGATTTCTTAGTTTTCTATCTTTAATAACTTTGCAAAAATAAAAAAATATATATATTTTTTTCATATTGTCATAATGGGGTATTGTGTGTAGAATTTTGAGGAATGAAATTAATTTAATACAGTTTGGAACAAGGCTGTAACATGACGAAATGTGGAAAAAGTGAAGCAATGTGCGCACGTTCTGGATGCACTGTAAAGTTTAAGAAACCTTTGCCATGTTTGCAATGTAAGGTGAGTTGGAGGTGAAGAAAGACCTTGATATTAATGAAAGTCTGCTCACCTCAAATGCCAAAAGAACCTGGCAGGACCACTTGTATATGCATAAGAAAATCAGGTTATAAATGCTAGGTGGTCTTTAAAGTATGATGAATGAATTTCCTTTGTGTGTACACTCTCTTGCTGCTTATATGTTTTATACATTACACACATGAAGGTGGGCACATTGCTTGGGCAGGAGTGCTGCCGTTAAAGTCAATATTGACCCTTGCTGAATGTGGGAAGCTTGTGAAAGAGGAAAGCTGGCATAATAGTCATTTATGAAGTGTTGGGAATGGCCAAAATAATCTGAGTGTGCTTTGATTTATGGTTTTAAATCTATGTTCAGCCGCTGTTCATTTACATTAGTCAAGGTCTTCATCAGCATTTTTTTTTTACATGCTCAAAGTCAGATTAGTTACAAAATTATGTACATTTTTCTAACTAGTGAGCCACTATTGCTCCTCCTTTTAAAAGCCTCATTTTGTGGACTATGGTTTATGACTATGTGGCCAGTGAGTTCACACCAGAGGTCTGGTGTTCTTCCCCTCTGTCCAGATAAAGAGGTCCTTTCACTGGTAGCTGGGCAGGTCAGAAAGTTCTGCTGAATTAGCTTCTATCACACCAGCAGTTTTTTTATTTTGAAATTAAACAAAATTATTAATATTATTTCATATAGGGTTTTTTTGCCTGCAGTTTTAGACTTTATCTTGTGTTTAGAGTTCAACAAAATTCATAAATCTTAATTTTTGATTTTCTCTTCTGCTTTAGGAGATGGATTTCCTAAACTCTCAAGGGGAGCTGAAGGGTTTTGATGTCTGCATCGATAAGGGAACTTTTGATGCAATTAGTTTAAACCCAGACAACACCAAGGAGGGCAAAAAATTGTACGTCCAAGCTCTAAAAGATGCTCTTAAAGACGATGGATATTTTGCTATCACTTCCTGTAACTGGACAAAAGAGCAGCTGCTTGAAAGATTTAGTGACGGTAAGAGGTAATCAATGGGAAAATATCGGATCAGATATTAAATATTGCTTTTTTTTATGAGTAATACTTTATTAAAACCCAATAACATGTTTATGATTCATAATAATCTAGCTGGAGTGTTTGTGTCTGGGAAGAGGTAGATTTCAAATAACTGCACAGTGAGTTTTTGTGAGTAACAGCTCGTTTGGCTTGACCAAAGAAAGTGTGGTTGATTGTACGACGACACCTGCAGTTGTAATTTTCTAGATGTCTCTCTGGCATTTAACAACCTTTTATTTGAGTTTTGTCGTCTTGCCCTCAGTCGATACACAGTTCCTCGGTCGTCACAGGTTGTTAGGTTGCGGGGGACAACAGCCTACGAAGTCAAAGTTTCGGCAAGCTTCCACTAGCTGTCACTCGTGTCTGTGCAGTCACTTTGGAGAACCTGCAGGGGGCCAAAGTGCTCATCTTTCACACGGACAGCTTGGCTTTAGTAGGCCCCAGGAAGCAGCACAGATGGCAGATGGATAGTTGACTCTCATTACAGCTGCTAAATTATTTTTTATTTAATTAGATATTATCCACATGAAAAGATTCTCAGCTTCTGTTTTGATGTAGTGCATGTTTATATAGTTTATTACCCTTAACTTTCATATTTGCTCCTTGTTGCTTTGCAGGTTTTGAGTTTGTACAGGAATTACCCACACCGAGTTTCAAGTTTGGAGGACAGACGGGCAATAGTGTGACAGCTCTCATTTTCAAGAGGGAGCATTCATGAAAGTGTCTTCAGAAGATGTTTGCTTGGATGTATTTGTTTCTATTTGACACAATATATTCTGTCGGTTCACTTACAAACATTTCCAAGAAAACCTGGTTATAAATATTAATATTATTGTTTTTGTTTTTTACAAATTAAACTAAATGGAACTTTTTTCTTGAAATAAATGTTTATATTGCTTTCAGTTGCAGAGAGATTGTGCAATTTTTCTTTAATTGAATATTATGGGCTTTAATGTCTGTAGTTTTTGTGTTTAATTCAAATATTTTAGCTTACAGCAGCTTTAGGTCATTTAAAGTGCACGTCCATTAATGCTTTTACCTCTTTTAAGTTGTCTTCTGGCGTCATGCAGACTTTAGCCTTGTGCACACTTTTTTAATTTTAATTGATTATCATTCCTGAGATTGGGCTGTAAACAGCCAAGCAATAATTTAATGTTTAATCCATTTTAATGAGGTCTGTGGGCTGAAATGTATTCCAATAGTTTTCTTAATTCCATAAATCATCATATAATCCCAAAATTGGCTTTACTCTTTCTTATGAGAGTTCTAGTTTACAGAAAACCTATGTTCTCTCTTGCTACATTAAAACGTTTCTATCATGCAAAGATAATCTAGTTTGATAATCTGGATACCAGCAGCATTTTGGCCCTAAGGATGATGATTAAGAACTTCTGGCATAATAAACAAGAGGCCATGACTTCTGTGGGAGAACCGCTTGTCCAACTTTTCCTTTCTCAGTGGTGTCATTAATATCTGCCAGACTAATCACATGCTGCATGGGCCAGTGGTCCAATGGGAGCCGTCTATGCTGAAGGCACTCTGTTGAGTAAACACATTCAAGATTTACAAGAATTATTGCCTGGAAATTTACAAGGCTCTGGATATCCTGCCTGGATATACCTGTTTAGCCCACATTGACAACTCCCAGAGATTTTTCCCATGAAGAGAAGTGTCGTTCTGCTCTTTTTAAAAATGTTCTGTGCTTTGCCTCTGTCAGCATATACAGAGCATCCGGAAAGTATTCACAACGCTTCACTTTTTCCACATTTTGTCATGTTACAGCCTTATTCCAATTTGTATTTAATTCATTTCCTCAAAATTTTACACAGAATACCCCATTATAACAATGTGAAAAGATCAAGATTTTTTGCAAATTTATTACAAATAAAAAAATAAATAAGTCACATTTATGCAAGTAGTTTTCATTCAACCTTTATTTATACAGGTAAATCCCATTGAGTCTCAGGGACTCTTACAAGAGAGACCTGAAGTATTCACAGCCTTGATACTTTGTTGATCCACCTTTAGCAGCAATTACAGCCTCAAGTCATTTTGAATTTGATGCCACAAGCTTAGCACACGTATTTTTAGGCAGTTTTTCCCCATTCTTCTTTGCAGTACATCTCAAGTGCCATCAGGTTGGATGAAAGTTGTCTGTGCACAACCATTTTCAGATATCTCCAGAGATGTTCAATTGAATTAAAGTCTGGACTCTGGCTTGGCCACCCCAGGACCTTCACAGAGTGGTCCTGAAGCCCCTCCTTTGAGATCTTGGCCATGTGCTATGGGTTGTCCTGCTGAAAAATGAACCACCACCCCACTCTGAGGTCAGAGCATTCTAGAGCAGGTTTTTGTCCAGGATGTCTCTACATTGCTGCATTCATCTTTCTATCCTGACTACCGGTAGTCTGCCAGTTCCTGCTGCTGAAAAACATCCCCATAGCATGATGCTGCCACCACTATGCTTCACTGTAGGGATGATATTGGCCTGAGCGGTACCTGGTTTCCTTCCAACATGATGTCTGGCAGTCACACCAAAGAGTTCAATCTTTGTCTCATCAGACCAAATAATCTTGTTTCTCATGGTCTGAAAGTCCTTCAGGTGCCTTTTGTCACACTCCAGACGAGCTGCCATGTGGCTTTTATTAAGGAGTGGCTTTCATCTGGCCACTCTACCATGCAGGTCTGATTGGTGGATTGCTGCAGAAAAGGTTGTCCTCCTAGAAGTTTCTCTCTCCACAGAGGAACGCTGGAACTCTGACAGAGTGACCATCAGGTTTTTGAGAAACCTCCCTTGCTAAGTCTCTTCTGTGATTGCTGATTTTAGATGGCCGGCCAACTCTAGCAAGAGTCCTGGTGGATCCAAACATCTTCCATTTATGAATGATAGAGGCCGCTGTGCTCATTGAGACCTTCAAAGCAGCAGAATTATTTTCTGCATCCTTCCCCAGATTTGTGCCTCAACACAATCCTGTCTTGGAGGTCTATAGACAATTCCTTTGACGTCATGCTTGGTGTTTGCGCACAGACATGCACTGTCAACTGTGGGACTTTATATAGACAAGTCAGGTATGTGCCTTTCCAAATCAAGTCCAATCAACTGAATTTACCACAAGCGGACACCATTTAAGTTGTAGAAACATTTCAAGCCTGATTAGTGGAAACAGTACTGTATTTTCCGGCGTATTAGTCACATTTTTTGCATATTTGTCAGTCCTGCGACTTATATTCTGAAGCAAATTTTATACATTTTTTTTTTTCCATATTCATAACGCAATTTTTTATTTAAGCTTTAAATTCCAAAGAACTGCAACAGCGAGTCCTCCTGTGTGTGCTCGCTTCACTCAGCTGGTGCAGGTGGAGGAATGTTGTAGAGCTAGCGGCTCCAGCCGCGATGGATGGATGGATGGCGCTGTCCAGGCGAATTGAAGCTATTTTGACTATTAAATAAACACATTATAAACATGGCAGGTCAGCGGTGACATATAATGAATGCGACTTATATGCACGCCGAAGCGACTTACTTATGTTTTTTTTTTCCTCTTTATGATGCTTTTTTTTTGACTGATGTGACTTATATGCCGGAAAATATGGCATATGCTCAATTTTGAACTTCTTGGCAAAGGCTGTTAATACTTGTGTCAATGTGATTTCTTAGTTTTCTAATTTTAATAAATTTGAAAAAATCTAAAATAAATATTTTTTCACATTGTCACAATGGGGCATTGTGCAGAAGTTTGAGGAAAGAGATTTGGAATAAAACTGTAACATAAAATATGGAAAAAGTGAAGCACTGTGAACACTTTCCGGATGCACTGTACACTCCCTGTCTTAAAGATGGCACATTAGGCAGTTTGGAGTGCTTTTTGATAATATTACACATATGGACTCACCATTGTCCGCCAAATTCCTCCATTACAAAGCAGTTGTGTTTGCTTTTATAAAGATTAGCTTTTCTGCCAACGGTGTGAAACCTCTTCATAATATAGTAAACAAAAAATGTGAAGAATATTTGTTGAACTCATAAAATGTCTTGCAAATACATTAGTGATACAGTCCAACCAAACTTGTGTAAAATGATTTCAGTAAAAGGCTGGGGCACTTTTTACAGTTATATAATTAACATTTACAAGAATATGCACCTTTTAATGAGTTAAATAGGCTGTCCTGTTAAACCTGGAACCATTAGTTACGAATGTATTTTGCACACATTCACCATTAGTCATAAACTCAGACTCTTGATGGGCTGAACTGTAAATTTACCACTGTCAGCACTTTCATGGCTTTTGGGGTTGACAAATGTTTGAAGCTGCACTTTTTTCCACCCATAATATTAACCTAAAGAGGAAGGTTTTAGACTTGATGCCATAGACCACTGGCCGGTCTGCCAGCACCAATGCTGTGCTTTCATTTCAACCTCTCCAGTCAATGTAACAGTGCAAATATTTATACACTGCTCAAAAATTAAAGGAACATTTTTTATTCAGAGTATAGTATCATCAGTTAAACTTCTGGGCTTTTGATCTGGTCAGTTAAGTAGTAGAGGGGGTTGTTAATCAATGTAAGCTGGTGTTGATAAAATTTACACTAAAGGGACATCAGAGATACAACCATAAAAGCAGGTATTCTTTTGCAGCTGGAGGCAAAAGACATATTTTCCTTTTCACCTTTTTCAACTACTTTTCAGTATTGCATTTGACTAGTGTCAGTGTCACTACTGGGAGCATGAAGTGATACTTGGACCCTGCAAAAATTGCACAGGGACAGTGCAACTCCACCAGGATGGCGCATCAGTTCGTGGCATTGCTAGGTTTTGTTGTGTTCCAGGAGACAGGCAGTTACTCTAGGAGAGCTGGACAGGGCTGTCAGTCATCCTTAACCCATCAGCTGAACTGGTATCTGCTCCTTAGTGCAAGAAGGAACAGGATGAGGACTGTCGAAGCCCTACAAAGTGACCTCCAGCAGGCCACTGATGTGAATGTCTCTGACCAAATCGTTAGAAACAAACATTTTTAGGGTGACCCGAGGCCCTGGCGTCCTCGAGTCGGCCCTGTGTTCACTGCCCAGCACCATGAAACTCGAGTGGCATTTTCCAGAATTGGCATGTCTGGCACTGCCATTAGGTATCGGGATGAAATCCTTAGACCCATTGTTAGACCCTTCGTTGGTGCAGTGAGTCCTGGGTTCCTTCTTGTACATGTGGCATGTTCCTCATGTGGCAAAAGTATGCGGCTGTTCCTGGAGGATGAAGGAATTTCTATCATTGTCTAGCCTCCACACTCACCTGACCTAAATCCAATAGAACATCTCTGGGTTCAACACTGCCAGTTTGCACCTCAGACTGTCCAGGAGCTCAGTGATGTCCTGGTAAGGATCTGGGAGGAGATACTCCAGGACACCATCCACCATAAGGAGCATGTCCCTATGTTGTCAGGCATGCAAACAAGCACATGAGAACCATACAAACTACTGAGTACCATTTTGAGCTGCTGCAATTAAATCTCATCCAATTAAACTAGCATGCTGTATCAGTTCTTAGTTTAGATTTCTTGGTGACTTCCAATTAAGCTTTCTGTGGGTTGATAACGTTCATTTTCATCAAATAACATCACATCCCTTTGTTACGCATTCCCCATTTCATATTAGTATGGATATCCAACAAGATGTTTTCCCCCCAATCTGATGTGTTTTCATAGCGTTCTTTCAATTTTTTTAGCAGTGTGTTTTCACTCCATCTCTATGGAAACACCTTTGCGGTCTGCTAATAGGATTTTTGTGGATCAAATTGAATTGCTCTGGCATGCAGGGCAGGTTTCACACTGCTAATGACTACATTGTAAAAGTTCAGGCTTTACAGCACTGTTCAAGCAATCACCACTGTCTTTGTCACTGATTTTACCATTGCAGACATGTCCCTGTTTTTAGTATTTTACATCGCTTCACGTAGCTGTTTTTGTTTCGTTTTTATATCATTTATTTTATTTACTCGTCATTTACTCGTCATTTTTTAATGCTTTTATATGATTGCCTTTTGTTGTCTGTACCTCATCTTTGTTCTTTGTTCAAAACAGGTTTCTCTTATAAATGAGTCCTCCAAGCTCAATGAGACTAACCTGTATAAATAAAGGTTGAATTAATAAATTTAAACTTATTTGATATTTTTATTGAAACGTGCAAGCCTAACTAAATTAAATAAAGTTAAAGATTCCTAGGGCCAGCTTTTAGTCAAGTAGTTCAAATAGTTTTGTTATAGTTGTTTTAAATCGGTTCCATTGACTTCTCTGAACTGTAATATATTAAAGTAGCACATGAGTGGAGAGCTGAAGTGGAATGTACCAACTCGACAGGGGTGCCAGGATAAACCATTTAAACGTTGTTGCTCGTGTGACCTTATATTATAACATTTTTCAGTTTTAAATTAATACTTAGCTCTTTATAAGTTATAGTATTATTTTACTTATCAGTATGTATTTTTATATAAGTTTTTTATCCACTCTGTTTTCCCTGGTTCCCCTCCTCTCGTCTTGGTTCGTGTGTACGCGGATATTGTTACAATCAATGCTGAAGGCAGCAGCTCAGCTCCCAGCTTCACACAGTTCTGCTCTCAGTCCTGCATAGAGGACACCGAACTGACTGCTGCTACTGAAAGAAATCTGTAAGTTTATTTAAAATAAATGTCTTCCTTTTATTTTTGTTAAATTACGTATACTTATTAAAAAAACACTTCCACTAACCAGGTAGTATTTATGTCGTGATAGCTAGCATCCTTGTGTTTCTTCTCTTTGACTACTCCAAAGTTTGCAACATTGTTGTTCATGCTGGGTTTCCCCCTAACATTGATTGTCAGGTTTTCTTGGGTAGCAAGAAAGCTGAGATGTATTCATTAATATTGTAATCATAGCAAACCAGTCTCTGTTGCATAAAATCAATACTAAGATTAAAAAGTCAATTTTATGCAGTTTTCTCTTCACAGTCTTTGTGGAGGACTCCAGTTTATTGTTTGATTTACCACCCTATTGTTCCATAAAAAAATTATGCTCGATAATAATAAGTGCTAGAGGATTTAGAAAGGATGCACACAAACACTTTGAGGCAGCAGACAAGCTGCCTGAAACTGGAGCTGCAGAAAACTGTACCTGTATGTGGAGAGGCAGTGTGGTTGTTCTGCAGCAGCATGTGTTGACACAGCTCCACACCACAGCCTGGGAGAAGAGATTCAGAGGCCTGAGTGCTTGGCCTCACAAAGCTTTGTTACTTATCTCTCACCAGTCATGACCACACAAACAGAAGTTTGCTTCCCCTTTAGATAGAGATCTGTAGATACTAATCATGTCTTTTATTGTTGTTTGTTTTTGAAGATAGTTCACAAGATGCCATATGTTTCAATAGACATTTTCTTCTCAGGTATGGTTCTTTTTCATCAGCGCTCAGTAGTTTCACCAGTAATATATAACATTAGAGTGTTCGTCCTTCAATGGGAGAGTTTGAGGTTTGATTCCACCACTATGCAGTCACATATCGAAGTGTCCCTGGGCAAGACCCTGAACCTGTCACGGCCTCAGATGTTTGTCCTAATCAGTGATCTAAATCACTGATTAGTCTCTATTGAATGATTTGTTCAATTAGCTTTGTAGAGATGTATTAGAGTGCTGTAGGAATGGGTAAATGAGGGCACGGATTGTGTTGTAAAGCACTTTTGAGTATCTTGATCAGATAGAAAGGCACTACAGTATATAAGTACAGTCCATTTATTATATGTGTGTGTGTGTGTGTGTGTGTGTGTGTGTGTGTGTGTGGCTGGATCTTGGGAGTCCAGTCAAAACGTAAAATGCTGCACTGTTATGGCTACACATTAACAAGAAAGTCTTATACTATAAATATATAATTACTCATGAAACTGAAACCACCCGTACAAGAAATGATAAGAATGTACAGTCCAGGACATCATCGTTTGATATACAGATGAGGCCGCCCACACCAGCCTCATGTTGCAACTTTTTTTATTGCACTATTGGTTCACAATCAAATCCAGGGCACTCTGAATATGACAGCAAAGCTTTAAACTGCTTTTTTGTCAGTGGTTTATTTATTTATTTATTTTTGTAGATTAGGAAGCAAATGTCTATATTTTTGTTTTACCCTGCTAAGTATTGCATTACTGCTGGTTGATTCTTGTGGACACCACAAACATAATACTGCAGCGAAGTGGTTTGGTACCCAAGTTGAAGGTACCTTGAAATGTGTCTATGAAGGTACCTTGAAATGTGTCTACATCAGCTATTGGCCTTAACCCACAATGAAACCTGCCTAATGTGGTGATCATAACAGGAAGTGTTGCTGGCTGTTGCATGGAATCAGTCCAGCGAGTACCTCTTCAAAAAGTGGCCAAAAGTTCAAATTAGACATGAAGCAGAGGTTAAGGGCAAAAGATTTAATCACGCCAGCTTGTGTCTGATTACATAAGATATGTTCATAAGGGCTCCTCTCAAACACTGGTAAGTTTAAAAGAAAACTTGCTCTGAGCATTTCTTATCTCTATTCACTTTTGGAAAGCTTATGGTGACTGCACATTGCTTTGATTTCCAAAATAAACCATTCCTGGAATGTCAGCTTGGTGTGAACAAGCACTTTAGGTCTTTCAATTTTTGTCATGTGAACTTGTGCATGCTGTGGCTACTGGTGCCAGCTTCATGAGCAGATCATGAGCATACAGTAAAAATGACTTCTCTTCTTGTAAAAAATAGTTATAATTGCCGGTAATAATAAACCACAAGCTAATATTGTTACTTTCTAGCTATCCATCAAATATTTTTTGACTAAATACCGGCCCAGTTTATTCAAACCTTGAGGTATTTAATTACTGATAAACAAAGAAAATGCAGTTAACCACTTATTGGAAGTTTTGTATAGATTTTTACCCAAAACTGTTTTGATACACAGGCAGATCATTGTTCACAGTTGCTGACAGTCACTTTAATGAAGTACAACTTGCTGCACTTGTACTGAATAACCCTTCTGACGCGATTAGTTTGTAGACATGTTTTGGACCTGTTGGAGGCGTACGTAATTTATGGGGCACAATTTAAGCTGCTGGGTTTTTAAAGGGGATCACCCTGCGCTCCTGTTTGTGCTTAAGACGCTCACATTTGCAAAGTCTTTGTGTTGCAAGCAAAAGGCCCTGTTAGGACTCCATTCTGTCAGCAGGCAGCTGTGTGCCTGTAGCCGAGGGAGCCTCTGGTCCATTCACCGTCTGCATGTACCACCCCTTTCATTTTCTTTCTTTATGCCTTCTGTATGTTTCATTATACATTTTTTTTCCATTTTTTACACTGTTGTCTTTATACCATGCTTGTCCTTTTATCCTCAGTTTTCTGGCCTGTGAGATTATTGCAAAAACCTGAGAACGAGTTTGTTAGCCTTGGCTTCTGTGCCTCTACGGTATGGTCAGTTCAGAAACTTTCATTGTGACCTGCAGTCACAACGCACTGCTCCAGACGTACTCGGTTGGCTGTATTTACTTCAAACAATGTGTTTTATTTCAAAGCTGTTGCTCCTTTTTTATGTATTCCTTCCTCATTTACCATGACAGATTTGAAAGTCTGGCGTGTCGTCGCTCACAAAGCCTGAGAGCTGAAAAGAAAAGAGGCTTTCTCAGATACAGCAAAAAAGCACTCCCCCAACCCCCCAAGACCAGACTCGGCGATGAAAAGCTTTCTGGGATGTAGTAGCAATGCTGCCTTCGAAACATGCTAGTCTCGTGTTTCTAGGTAGTGATAGTGAGTCTCTCTCTTGAGTTTGAAAAAGGAAAAACAAAAGGGATAGCTTTTTGACTCTCAAATGAGTGTCTTTTCCCTTGGGGCTTGGTCTTTTTTTTAGTTTGTTTACATACTCTTAGTATTGTGTATGTGCAAATCCTATTTTGTCCGGGAAAACCCCCCATCATCCAGGTGATCTAGTAGTTTGCATTTTGTTTCTTTGTGTTATTGTAACATAATTTTTTTTATTATGAATGACCACAGTTTTTATTTTCCTAAGTTATTTTGGATAGCCTTTTCCTTGAAATGGCATTCATTCCATCATGTATTTCCTGTGTAGACCTGGCTTTTCCATAAACCCATTGTGATACAATCTCCCAACTGCCTTCTTTGTAAAAAGGAAAAAGAGAGAAATGAAATCTTCGGTTAGTCTTTGGCACAGGGAGCTTAATTTTGTATATTTTTAGAAACTGTTTGCAACTATATGACAAAAATCACTTTTATCTTCTCTAATTTATGACATTTACAGTTAAATATGATGCTTTTATCCTGATATTTTTTTAAAAGAACTTTAAAACTGATTGAGCAAAACACTTGAATTTTAAAATGTTTAATAAAATGTTGAAGGTTTTCCATTTATTGTGGTACACAAATATATATTTTTGTAGCTATGATCTTACTTAGCAAACTGGTTACTCCGGTTAATGATCATTACTTCCAGTTACTAGAGAAGAAACAAATGTTTCTTATACCTCACATAATTATTCTACTATGTGGACACTTTGACATCAAAGTTGTGCATATATTGTTCTGCTTTATAAATAAAAGTTCAATAAAACTGCAGTTATTGGCTCCTTTACAATTAAGAAGAGTGTGGTAACACTGATTTTTTTTTTGTCTTACTACAGCATAGCAAGGGATGGCATTGTGCCATTCCACAAGCTGAGCTGGACCACAGTGTCGTTACAAAGGTGTTACTTTCCAATGATTTTTTTATTTTTAGTATATTTTGAAAGACATTGCGCACAACTAAAATTGAGCTGTCAGCTGCGGTAGTGATGTAAAATGCTTCGTTGGCTCAAAAAAGCCATAGCACGTTCACCCACCTGACTGCCAAGTTTACATCACTACCAATTGTTGCATTGGTCCAATAGATACTGGTGACATTTAGCATGAGACTTAATCCATTGTTATCCTTTTCCAATGCAGACAATTCTCAGATGCGTGCGAGTATATGTGGTTAGCACTGTTGCCTCACAGCAAGAAGGTCCTGGGTTCAATCCCTGGTTGGACCTGGGGTCTTTTTGTGTGGAGTTTGCATGTTCTTCTCGTGCTTGCGTGGGTTTTCTCCGGGTACTCCGGTTTCCTCCCACAGATCAAAAACATGCATGCCTTCAGGTTCAGGCCTACCTTGCAAAAAAGATCTGTGATCTCAATAGCTATGTTTACATGCACAAAATTCTTTGATCGGATTGAAATGTTTTCAGATTAAATAATTCAAATGTATCATTTACACGGGCACAATCTGTTCATGACGAGTGTTTACATGCAGCGGGCTTTGTTCTGAACAGAAGTACTGACATGCACAGAGTGGTAAACTCTCCTTACAAAAAAACACAGAAGAAGTTCTACTTCCGGGATGAACGTAAACAAACCCGAGCACCCAAAATGGACCCGCGACAGGTTTTAATGACGGTGGAGACGTTGCTGCTCTCCCTCACTGAGCTACAGGTAATACAGATCATTTTGAGCTCTTTCACAGTTTCTAGTAGAAATGTTGTCGCTCACCGACCAGTTTTGCTTCCCCGACATGCTAATATTATTAGCATTAGCCAGGCGTAAATACGTGAGGTTGACATAGGTCACGCATGCACAGTCAGGTCAGTTTTTCACCATCAGA